TCACAGAGACCAGAAGCCCCACCTCCCATTTAAAGCGCTGCAAATTTTTCAAATTCCTTTTTCTGACTGCCTAGCTTGGCAAGTACATGTAGAAACTCTCCATTGTTGAGTGCAACTGCCCAGTTGACCATGCCAGTTACACACTTCAGACACACTCCTGCATGGAGTAGAGAGGAGGGATTGGATCTCCTGGACTTGTGGAGAGAAGAGCTTGTGCAGGCACAGCTCTGATCCAGCCATAGAAACATGGATATCTATGAGCAGCTTGCTTGGGGGATGCAGGAGAAGAAATAGGACAGAGATCAGTAGCAGTGCAGCGTGAAAGCCAAGGAGCTGTGGGAGGCAGACCAACAGGGCCGTCCTTACCCATACGCAAAGTACGCAGCTGCATAGGGCACCAGCCCCTGGCCCACCTCTTCCCCAGGGCCCCAGCCCCTGCTCTGCTCCAGCCCTGCCTCTTCCCACCCCTGCTCCACCCCAGCCCCACCCCCCACTCCACCCCTTCCCCATGGCCCCCGCCCTGCTCTGCCCCCACCCCACCCCTTCCTGCCCCTGCCCCTGCTCTGCCCCAGCCCCGCCTCTTCCCACCTGTCAAGGCTGTATCCCCACTTTGAACTTTAGGGTACAAATGTAGGGGCCTGCATGAAAACTTCTAAGCTTAACTACCAGCTTAGCTCTGGTCCCGCTGCCACCATTCCCACTGGATTCCCTCCCTGGGAAGCCTTGAGAAACCTCTCACCAATTCCCTGGTGAATACAGATCCAAACTCCTTGGATCTTAAACAAGGAGAAATTGACCCTTCCCCCCTCCTTCCTTTCACCAACTCCTGGTGAATAGAGATCCAAACCCCCTTGGATCTTAAAACAAGGAGAAATCAATCTGGTTCTTAAAAAGAAGGCTTTTAATTAAAGAAAAAGGTAAAAATCATCTCTGTAAAATCAGTATGGAAAATAACTTTACAGGGTAATCAAACTTAAAGAGCTCAGAGGACCCCCCTCTGTCTTAGGTTCAAAGTACAGCAAACAAAGATAAACACTCTGGTAAAAGGTACATTTACAAGTTGAGAAAACAAAGGAAAACTAAGACGCCTTGCCTGGCTTTTTTACTTACAAGTTTGAAATAGGAGAGACTTGTTTAGAAAGATGGGGAGAACCTGGATTGATGTCTGGTCCCTCTCAGTCCCAAGAGCAAACCACCCCTTAAACAAAGGGCACAAAACAAAAGCCTTTCCCCCCCAAGATTTGAAAGTATCTTGTCCCCTTATTGGTCCTTTGGGTCAGGTGTCAGCCAGGTTACCCGAGCTTCTTAACCCTTTACAGGTGAAAGGATTTGGAGTCTCTGTACACAGGAGAGCTGTTACCCTTCCCTTTATAGTTATGACACCACCCCTGAGAGGAATGCAGCAGGGCCAGGCCTGCACTCACCAGCAGCGGGCAGTGCAGCGGCCCCGCCCCAGCCGCGCTGCCAGTGAGTGCTGAGGAGCGATTCCCCCCTGATCCCCGAGCCAGCCCTGCCCCCCCCCACAGAGGCCTGGGGCTACCCACCCCCACAGGGGGCCACTTGGGCCCCAGAATAGCTAGGAATGGCCCTGCATACCAATCCAGTGCTGAACCACAGATCTGCTGCTTTTAAAAAGAGCTGCATGCCATACTAGGTGGAGACCCTGCCCTCACGCCCAACAGTGCTGCAAATACCTCCAAGGAGCCTGAGTCACAGGCCCCTGCCACGAACAGTGAAGAGAATGAGGTGGATGATGAAGAGTATGGGAGACAAGCGACAGGGGGAATCCAGCCATGCAGCAAGCCAGTACCCATTTTTTCTTCCACTGCAGTTTGGCAGTACTGCCAGATGAGCACGGGGTGAGCCCAATGCTGGGGAAGAACCTCGGGTAAGTGTGTAGTTTAATTTTAAATTACAGGGATGCCCACCTCAAGTAACAGGACACATTTTTGACATCATTAATTTACTGGTGCTAGAAGAGATAGCAACTCTACCTCTCTTGGTTTAATACTATCTATTTTTCATTACTCTCTAGAGTTGGGGGATCCACATGAAGCAGTTTATGTGCACAGGGATGTTCTGTGAATCCTCCTGAGAGATCTCAATGAAACTTTCATGGAGGTACTCTGCAACCCTGTGCCAAAGGTTTCACCGCCAGCACAAGGAGCCAAGACAAACTGCACAAATGATGTCCTAACTGCGGTGACTTTATGCCAACATAACTTGCGCTGACATAAGTTTGTAGTGTAGACATGGCCCAAGTCTCGACCAAGAGTCTATCTCAGTTGGACTTGCTGAGAAGAGTTCATGGTCTGAAGCAGGAGTGCTGGAGCCCCATTGCTTCAGTCTATGGAGGCAGAGAAGCTGCAAGGTTTACCCTAGAATCATAGAATCTCAGGGTTGGAAGGGACCTCAGGAGGTCATCTAGTCCAACCCCCTGCTCAAAGCAGGACCAATTCCAAACTAAATCATCCCAGCCAGGGCTTTGTCAAGCCTGACTTTAAAAACCTCTAAGGAAGGAGATTCCACCACCTCCCTAGGTAACCCATTCCAGTGCTTCACCACCCTCCTAGTGAAAAAGTTTTTCCTAATATCCAACCTAAACCTCCCCCACTGCAACTTGAGACCATTACTCCTTGTTCTGTCATCTTCTACCACTGAGAACAGTCCAGATCCATCCTCTTTGGAACCCCCTTTCAGGTAGTTGAAAGCAGCTATCAAATCCCCCCTCATTCTTCTCTTCTGCAAACTAAACAATCCCAGTTCCCTCAGCCTCTCCTCATAAGTCATGTGCTCCAGCCCCCTAATCATTTTTGTTGCCCTCCGCTGGACTCTTTCCAATTTTTCCACATCCTTCTTGTAGTGTGGGGCCCAAAACTGGACACAGTACTCCAGATGAGGCCTCACCAATGTCGAATAGAGGGGAATGATCACGTCCCTCGACCTGCTGGCAATGCTCCTACTTATACAGCCCAAAATGCCGTTAGCCTTCTTAGCAACAAGGGCACACTGTTGACTCATATCCAGCTTCTCAACCACTGTAACCCCTAGGTCCTTTTCTGCAGAACTGCTTCCTAGCCATTCGGTCCCTAGTCTGTAACAGTGAATGGGATTGTTCCATCCTAAGTGCAGGACTCTGCACTTGTCCTTGTTGAACCTCAATAGGTTTCTTTTGGACCAATCCTCTAATTTGTCTAGGTCCCTCTGTATCCTATCCCTACCCTCCAGTGTATCTACCACTCCTCCCAGTTTAGAGGCAGAGTGAGACCTCTTGGGCATCTGGCACACTGAAGGGGTTCCTCCAAGAGACTGTTCCAAAGCTGGGGGCACAGCACCAATCCTGTGCATCCATGACAGTAGGTAATCTGCCTTTCTGAGAGGCTGTAACTAGATTGAATGCTTCTATCAAGCTAGCTGTGTCTACAGTGGAAGTTAGATTGACATAACTACATTGCAATTTTTTTTCTCAGCCCATAGCAACATAGCTAGGTTGACCTAAGTTTTAAGTGTAGACCCTGCCTAGCTGTTTGAGTGCCGGGCAGGTGTAGGTAGCTCCTGTTCACTACAATGCAAAGGCAGTGGGTTAATGTGTTAAGAGTGTACCATGGCATCACTCACAGAGTTAAGATTGCATTGGTATGTACCATAACTCTCTAGCTCTTGGTTTTCAGAGATCTGAGCTAGAAATATTTTAACTCTTCACTTCCTGGTTTCGAAAGCTTAAGTTTTGCTAAACTCAATATCGTGGAAAGGCAGGAGATACCATTGGGCAGCTCTAAGTCTGCACTGACACAAGGGTTTTTGTCAGTGAATTCTCTAGTATTTTAACAGACAGAAATCTTGTTTGTATGAGTTAGACCATTTAGACAGTAGTAATTATCATGTAGGCGTGCAGTTCAGGTAATGATAAGAGCTACCCCTCACATAGTGCTGTTCATCAGTAGATCTCAAGGAGGGAAACATTATCCCCATTACACACATGAGGAAACTGAGGCACAGAGTGGTGAGGTGATTTGGCCAAAGTCATGCCACAAGCCTGTGGCAGACCTGGGAATAGAGCCCAGGGTTTTTGAGTCCCAGTACAGATGTTTTTCCACTAGGCCACATAGTTGCTATGTGAATCCTAAGTGCCCCAATCTTCCCTATACTTTGATATTGTGGAATGGGGCTAATAGCTGTGCTTTGAAACATTTGCAATGTGCAGTTGCTAGCAGGGTCAATGAGAGAAATCTCAGACATGGTCTGCGTCCCAAGAACTTGACAGTTTTATTACATGGCAATAACAGTAACGTTAAGCACGTGAGAGAAGATTGGTGTGCCTGTCTCGTCTCCCACCCCCCACCATCCCCTGCTACATACAGCCCACCCTCTCACACCACCATTTCCATCCCACCCTCCCCTTTCCCCCCAACCCAGTGCTGAAGAGCCTGTGATATGCATCAAACATGCCCGTTCTCAAGTTCAACTCTTCACCCAGTCTCAGTGTGTGTTCTTGTTACATGCCCCCAGCATGCCTGTCTCAGCTCCTGACCCAAAAGGACTTTCCCAGATGCCAGCTCACGTAGGTAGCTGGGAGACTGGCTCTGACATCCCTAGATGGACAATCTCCCCCCAGATCCTGGCTCATGTATGGGTGGAAAAAAGGGGTTTGGACACCCCTAGAGAGGCAGCCCCCCAGATCCTGGCACACACACATGGGATGGGAAAGGGGTTCAGACAACCCAGAGGTGTAAGGAGCCCCTGAACCTGGTACAAACATGGGAGGGGAGAATGTGGGGCTGACAGGTGCCCCCACCCCTATTCCCTGCCCTGCCACCCTCCTCCATCTCACCCTTCCCAGGGTTCAACCTCTCCCCCTAATCCCCATCCCCTCACCCTGACCTGAGCCCCCAAAACACTCTCCCCTACTACCTTCTAATTATCCCTCCTCCCCTCACTGCAGCCCCAAACCCCTCTCTCCCTATTCCCCCCACTCTTCCACCCCCTAATATTTCCTTCCCCGCACAGTAGTGACACGTATAATTTATTTTCTTTTCAAAAATAGCACAAGCGCCTTCTGAATCTCCTGCTGCACTCAGATTACAATTCCCCAAAATAAAATAAAAAACCCTCTTTGACAGAGGCAAATTGTCACAAGATGCCTCTGATGTTTCCCTACAGATTTCTACCCACAGCTGGGTTTTAATTTACACTGGAGCAATTGCCAGAACATTTTGCCTTGAGCCACACAGCTGCTGGAAGTTGCAGCTGGCTACCAACCCCCCTGGCCTCTCAGACAGCACACGCACAGCGCGATCCATTTGGTGTGGGAATGCTACGCACACACCTAACTTGACAGCTAAACTCTCACTAATACTGTTTTCAGTTTTATTCCCCCAGAGGGATGGTCCGGTCCATGCATTCTCTGGGAGTAGCCCTAGAGCGACTGACACTCTTGTGCCAGAATCAGTGCCTTGGTTTCATCTCTAGCTCTGTGCAAAGAAAATTGGCAGAATCCATGAACCTTAAGAAAAACTGCTTTTGGGGGGTGGTATCTCAGGAACCGATTTTTCAATGACCCCACATTTGGATCAGTAATCCCACCCCATGTCCTGAGGATGCACACCACATTTCATGGCAATCCAAGTAACTGTGCAGATTTTAGAGCACTTACAAGAGTCAAACTATACACAGAAAGCTGCTTTAACCTTAATTATAACTCAGACCTGCTGGTCTGCTATAAAACTGCATTAATCACTGTAGTATCTGAGCACCTTCCAGTAGCATATTAATCACATAACTTAACATCTTTCATGTGCTGTTGGTTCTCTTATCCTCTCTCCAGGATGAGGTATGTGCTCAGTGGAGGTTGGGTTTTTTTTTGTCTATATACATGGCATTGTGCATTTCAGTTAGAGAATGCAGGTCAATGAAATGTGCCTGGCATTTGGCAAGGAAGACAGTAAGGTTTGAGATGGTCCTTAGCTGCTTGGAGTGTTCATTCCACAGTCTCAGACCAGCCAACAAGAGAGACCGTGTCATGAACACCCGAGCTTTACCCTTATTGTTGAGAGTTCCATTGTGCCAGAGGGGTGACGTTTTCAACCCCAATCTCGATCCCGGAACTTAAGGCAGTCTTTTAGATCACTACAAGGAGCACCATGGATAAGGACCAAGACCTTGGACTTGATTCACTATTCTATGCGAAGTCACTGTCGAAAGCAAGGACAGGTGTGATGGGCTCGCTTTAGCTTGTGTAGCTGAGGAGATGCACTGCAGTGCTTCTGTACTAGTTGGAGTTTCCTACATGCAGTTCTATAGCATTGCAGTACTCCACGCAAGAAGTGACAAAGGTGTAAATAACTGAGGCTGGGTCTTTGTAGTCTGCTTGCCAACCAGGAACTATAGAAAGCATTACTCAAGGACGTTGCTACTTGAGAGCTCAGCATCAGTGATGATTTCCAAGAGCACTCCTAGACTGTGAAATGAATTGCCCAATTGTGGGTAGGAGCTGATCAGTGGATGTTCAGAGCTTCTCAGGAAGTAATAATCAAATTCCCATCACAACGTGGAAATCTTATCTCAGCCTTTTGCTCTGCATGCCTCTGTCCCAGAAAGGTGATTACATTCTTTGCTTTAATAACTATTCCATGTCCCCAGTATATGGCCCCTCCGGCCTGGCCTGACACGCTGATGTTCATGGGAATCAGCAAAGGTGTTACTCACTTCACCCCTCCCTAGGGTTTGCGTCCTCTGTGGATTCTCTGATGCCTAATAAAGGCTGAGCTGTACCGGAAGTTTTTCCCACACTCGGGGCATTCATAGGGTTTTTCTCCCGTGTGGATTCTCTGGTGTTCATTACAGGTGGATCTATCCCGGAAGCTTTTCCCACACGTCAGGCATTTGTAGGGTTTTTCTCCTGTGTCGAGTCTCTGGTGCCTAACGAGTTGCGTGAGCTGACGGAAACTTTTCCCGCACTTGGGGCATTTATGTGGTTTCTCTCCCGTGTGGATTCTTTGGTGTTTATTAAACGTTGACCGATCCCTGAAACTTTTCCCACAGGTCAGGCATTTATAGGGTCTCTCTCCCGTGTGGATTCTCTGGTGCGTACTAAAGGTGGATCTATCACTGAAGCTTTTTCCACACTCATGGCATTTATAAGGTCTCTCTCCCATGTGGATTACCTGGTGTGCAGTGAGGGTTGAGCTACAACTGAAGCTTTTCCCGCACTCGAGACATTTGTAAGGCTTCCCTCCTGTGTGGACTCTCTGATGTTTGGTGAGGTTTGAGCGCTGGCTGAAGCTTTTCTCGCAGTCAGGACACTTATAAGGTTTTTCTCCTGTGTGGATTCTCTGGTGAATAATAAGGAATGATTTCCAAGGGAAACTTTTCCCACAGTCGCCGCACATGTGAGGTCTCTCTTCTGTGGGAACTCTCTGGTAAACAGATTCTTTGATTCTTCCGACTCCTCTCATCCTCTGCATGGATTTATCCCGTCTCTCCTCTTGGTGGTTTCCCTGCTGTCTCTCTGGCCAGTGCTGACTCTTATGGGCTTCTCCCCACTCAGGACTCTGGGAAGCATCTCCTTTGGCTCTTCCCAATGCCATCCCATGTGGCTCCAGTTGTTCAGAACCTTCCTGCTGAGGGTTCTCCTCCTTGTTCTCGTTCACCATCTCCTCAACTGCTGGGACAGAGAGAGAATCCAGACAGGAGTCAGTCCCTGTGCCGGGAGAAAGGGAACCTCAGAAAAGGGAATGAGAAAGGGAGGAACAAACCAGAATAAGTGGTGGGGAGATGGAAATATCAGTATCTGACTCCCCCCCAAAAAACCTTTCCTTACTGGGGAGAGGGAGAGGAGATCAATTCTGCCTTCGTTCCATTACAATATCAATGTGGAGAGGGACTAAAAGGCTGGATAGGATTGGTGAAAACCCATGAGTGACGTCTGTCACGAGAATATAGAAATTGGTTTCTGAGTCCATTCAGTCGATTCCTTACCCCTGTGGACATCTTTCAGGATCTCCCTTTCCTCATAAATCTGGAGATCAGGGACCCATGGCTCCTCCCCTAGTTCCAGCTGGGAGCTCACGTCAGGTTTGGAAATTGGAAATCCTGTTTGGGGAGCAAGGAAACATGCGTTGATCTTGTTCATTAAGGTCAGTGCTGTTACTACTTCCAGATCCAGGATATGAGTAGTCTACCCAGATGGGCTCCTTCCTTTCCCCACCCCGACCCTAAAGGGACTGGGCTATAAATCGTAAAGGACACTTTCTGGAGCAAAGGTTCATCCACTCTGCCTAGGAAATGGGCCTTACTTATTCCCTTGGGGAGCTAAGAAAATTTGGTAAACTCTCTAGGTATCAGGGCTACAATTAAGGCTCTGTCGCTGCCAATTATTCCCTCCTCCTTCCCCTGCAACACATATGCCCACATTCCTCCAGAACACAAGCCAGAACAGGAAGATATTACAGGGGGCTTATCTACCTGGTCAGTAAGCCAGAGTGTGACTGTAGCACACCAGCTCTTGTGCACTAACTGTCTGTGTGGACCCTGCTACCATGCACTGAAAGTTCTGTAGTGTGCTTTCAGGTACTGCTCTCAGTCTAGTGTGTAGAAGCAGGGTCTACCCACCTATTTAGAGCAGGGTACGGTGCTGCACTGTAGATTTACACCTTGACTTGCTGATGTGACCCAGTGCCCGCTTGGTGTCAACTGGCAGAGGGCACAGAGTGTACCTAGGGTTTTACAGGGGTCCCCTGGGTCAGAAATGTGCATAACTGCTCACCACAGTCTCTACTGAGATCCAGTTACCCACTGATTATTGTAACCCTTGTGAGATGTATGCACGAAGTTGTGTGGCTATATTGACAACTATGTTTAATTTACGGTCCTGGAGTTAGGGCAGGTCACCAGGAGGTGACATGTCTTGGACAGGTTCTTTTCAGGCAGGAGATTACAGACACTTATCTCTCTCTCTGGTTATACATGCATTGTCTGCCTCGCAATGGAGGCCAATCTGCAGACTGAGCCAGGTGCCAGTCGAAAGGTTGCACAATCTAGGAGAGAGCAGAGGGGTGCCCTGTTTATGGGCAAAGACACAGAATTGTTAGCGTACAACTGGGAGCACAAGGAAACACACAGGATCCTTCACCAAGGAGCCAAGCTAACCGTGTGTTTGTCCTAAGGAAGGAGGGTCATAGCCAATGTTACCTCTAATTTTTCCATCCATGTGCGGAATAAATTTTATGTGCAGATGTGTGTCACCAGTAGAAACAAAAAACCTAGATATATATTTTTAAAAAGTTACCATAGGGATAATTACTCCAACCAGGGCAGGTTAGGCATTTTAGAAGAATTAAATTTAAGTGTAAGAGAGAAATAAAAATTATGAAATGCACAGACCAGTCAAAACATTAAAATAACCCACTTTGAAAGAATAAAATTATAGAGAATATATGTGCATTGCAGGAAGTAGCAAGAAGTAACAACAATAATACAAGTATGTGTTGGGAGGTGAGTGTGAAAGAGACACAGAGAGAGAGAGAGAGAGTGTGTGTGTGTGTGTGTGAGAAAGAGAGAGACGGACAGTGTGAGAGTGTGTGTGACAGAGATACAGAGACAGTGTGTGTGTGACACAGACACAGTGTGTGTGTGTGTGAGAGAGTGTGAGACAGACAGACACTCAGAAACAGTGCAGGCTGAGCCAGGCTGTGTCCCTTCTCCCCTGCTCTGCGGAGATGGGGTATAGGGGCAGGGGGACATCCTGACATCAGCACCCTCCTTTCCCCGCCCACCCCTCCGCACAGCCAGCAGGAGGATCCTGGGAGCAGTTGCAGGACAGAGCAACGTGGGGGGAGGGGCACCTGAACATATGCTGCTGGCTGTGCGCACTCTGCAAATCAGTTGGGCAACGTTTGAATCTCTCCTGAGCAGCTGCGCAAGCGCGCAGCTTACAGGTAACACAGATCACAGCCAGCCGGGCTGTAGGATGCTGAAAGGACTTTGAGTGAGCATCACTCTATAAGACATGAGTGTATCTAATTCATTAAGGCTGTGGCTTTCAAAGGGACCCAAGAGAGTTAAACATCCAACTGCACTGACTGCAGTGTCTGGGCCCCTTACAAATTTCCAGTCTTAATCCCTCTGGTCCCCACTCTTCCCCTATGAAATGGAGATAACCACCCACTCCCTGACCGTTTTTTCTTTTTAGATGGAAATTGATTGGGAGCAGGGACTGTCTCTTCCTGTGTCAATGTTGGTGCCCAGAATGACAGGAAGGGGGGGGGGGGTCCAGTGGTTAGGGCTTTGGCCTCAAACTCAGGAGATCTGGTTCAGTTCTTTGCTCTGCCACAGACTTCCTGGGTGACCTTGTGAGCGTCACTTAGACTGTCTGCGCCTCAGTCCCCTATGAGTACAACAGGTGTAACAGCAGCTCCCTATTCCACGGGGCAAAGGGATAAATATGTTAAATACTGCGAGGTGCTCAGACACGGTGGCAATGGGGACCCATATAAGTACCATTATGGCACAATCAGCCCTGATGTCCATTGGAGAGGGCAAGTGCTGTGGTAATTAAAAATCTGTCTCCTGCACCAGCAGTAGTAGCATAAGGTTTACATGGAATTCCTGCTTACGAAGGGTCTCTCCCTTCTTGTGTGTAATCCATCACCAGCTTTCTCCATCCCTGCGCTGCTGTTGCAGGGCCCAGGAACATGGAGGGTGAGACAAAGGGACATCTCAATACCAACTGGCAGAGGACACACAGGGTGCATAGGGTTGTACAAGGATCCCCAGGGGCAGAGATCTGTACAACAGTTCACTGACGGGTAGGCGTGTGAGGTTTCTACCAAAGGCCAGTAGCCTACTGGTCATCATCAGAGAAATTACGTATCTTTATTGAAAAATTATGTTTGTAGCGCCTTGGAGTTAAGGCAGGTCACCAGGGAGGAGACATATATCAGAAATGTTCCTTTCAGATAGGAGCTAATTGTCACCCATCTCCCTGTCTGGCCATTTATGTATCATATGCCTCATTCTGTGTGCCTCACACCGTATGGCTGTTTGCGTACTGAGCCAGGTGTGAAATGGAGAGATGGTGAAGTCTACGAGAAGCGGAAATCTACAGGTAGAAAAAACAGCAGGGAGTGTCCTGTTTATGACTAAAGACAACAGACTGATCTGGCTTATCTTGGAGTGCACAGAGATGCTCTGAATCCTTCAGCTAGGAGGCAAACTGACGCGCACTTGTCTCATGAGAAAAGGGTCACAGCCTGCCTAGCTGTAAAGTGCTGTAAGTATTTTGGGTGAGCTGTACTTTACCGGACAGGAGAGAATCGTGTTAAGTCCCGGCTCTAGAAGGCACGTTTTGATTTTATTTTCTATGGAACTATTTGTTTCCAATATTTCTACTTGCTTTGACTTGGAAGCATCACAGCCATGCATTAACTGTCTAGAAAATCACCACCAGTCCATGTCCCTCCCCAACAAAAGCAGAACAGGAAGTCATTTCTTAAGACTGTGAGCTCTTTGGAGTGGAGACTGTCTCTGTGATGGGTGCACCAGGCCCTTTGAGGCCCTCTGCTAGAGGCCCCATGGTCCTACCACACCCCGCTCCAGGAAAGGACCAGCAAAGGTGGGTTCTCCAGGCCTGCCTACAGAGGCCACAGAGAAGCAGCTAGTCAGAGCCCACCTGGCTCAGATAAAAGGAGCTGCAGGGGCTGAGCAGGGCAGTATCTGGCTGGGACCAGATGGGTAAAGACAGGGGCTCTGCTCTGGCCAGAGGACCTTGGCAGGCTGCATTTACTGGAACTGGAGAGAGAGGCTGAGACTGTAACCCTACAGTAATGGGAGAGGTAAAGGGCCCAGGTAAAACAGGGAGCGGTATGTGGCTGCTGTTTATAAGGTCCCTGGGTTGCCACCTGGAGTAGTGGGCAGACTGGGTTCCCCCGCCAGCCACTGGCAAAGTGGCCTAATCCAGGAGCAGGGGACAAGACTCCTTGAGAGGCCCCAGAGAAGGGCGGAATTGAATACGCCCAGAGATGGGACTGAAGACCTTCCCCCACCATCTATGAGACCCACTCTGCCCACACAGCATCCTGAACCAAAAACAGCAACCTTCTCCTCTCTTCTTCTACTGTAGAGAGCTACCCCACAGAATCATTCAGACCATGAATCACATCATCCACCCTCACTCTGCCCCAGAACCCAGCCCATCTCCCTGCAAGGAACCATCATTTCAGAAGGCTCAGCCATGTCCAGGAAGAAACACCAAGGACAGCACCCTCCTTCCATGAATTCAGCACAATGGCATGGGAGGTAGCCCTGAAGGCACTAACAGCAACTGGACCCAGCCCCATGACTCTGGTCTGTGCCCTTCCTGCTCGGTGGAATAGAATCGAGAACATCCGGGGCCTCCCGCTAACACAGCTGGCTGGGACAGACTACAGACAA